ACGTTTTTTGGTGCCCAATCACACCCTAATCAAAGATTGGTGGCGACTCTTCGAACCGTATTTTTCGATCGTAAAGAAAATTCAAAATTTTTCGAAACGAGAGGTCTTTTAAACTGCATTTTTTTAAATCATTTGAAAGAGAATAATTCAAAAATTAATGTGGTTTTTTAAAATCTCACCCTTTTCACCTTTAAGAAAAAAATCCTTTTGACAGGTATTAGATCTAAAGAAAATGCTAGATTTTTCATAATTGATCTTCTGCCCCGAGGCTTCTTTATAAGTAGAAAGAATATCTTTTATCCTTAAGGCTTCCTCAACTGAGTTTTTGAAGAAAATGATGCTATCATCTGCATAAAGAAGGTGCGTGATTTTTGGACCTCAGATGCTCGCCCGGACACCTTTCATTAACCCATGATGGCATGCATTGTTAAGTAATGTTGACAACCCCTGCACTTAGAAAAGAAACAGATATTGGGAAAGATAATCCCCTTGTCTAAGTCCTCTTTTCGGGGTGAAGGAATTTGAAAGCTGTCCATTGATTCTGATTCGGAACATTACATAACAAATGCAATTCTTAATGATCACAATAAAAAATCATTAAAACCCAAACATTCCATAATGGCAAACACAAAATTTCATTCTACCCTAGCATATGTTTTTTTTCATAACTAACTTAAAGGCGACTCCTTTATTAGGACATTTCTTGATCCTTTATGGTAGTGAATGAGTTCATAGGCCACAAGGAAATTGTCAGAAATTCTTCTTCATGGGATGAATGCACATTGGTTGATTGAAATACACCTAGGCATTAAAGGCTTGAGTCAATTTACGAGTACTTTTGAGACCACCTTATACACGACGTAACACTGGCTAATGGGTCTAAAGTTTTTTAGAGTTCGAGGGTTTTTATTTTTTGGGATTAGAAAAATGATAGTTCTATTGACCGTTCTAAAATCATTTTGACCATTCAATAGTTTAAGGCAAAGAAATATAAAATCAGATCCAACAATATCCCCAAAAGAACGATAAAGGAACCAGAGAGACCGTCAATACATGGCTCTTTGCTGGGATTTATTTGGGAGAACGTGAGAATAACTTCATTAGCGGTGAACTCCCTGCACAGGGTGGTGTTGTCATCCATTGTAACACATCCCTCCACTGCGTTGAGGATCGAACTAGGCAGGTCCGCTCTAAAAGAGGTAAAGAGAGATGTTAAGTAATCAGAAGCAATGTCGAAAACTTCATCTGGATTCTCGGTCCAATTTCCTTCAACAGTCTCTAACCCTTTAATTTTATTCTTTTTACGCCTATCGTTAGCCCTAGCATGGAAAAAAGTATTTTTATCCCCTCCTTAAGCCAAGTCACCCTCGACCTCTGCATCTAATAAGTCTCTTCCTTCTCGATCAGGATTCTCAAATCCTTTTTTTACTTGCAACAAACTTTCAATTGATTGATCGGATATGAAGTTCTTCTCGAGGTGGTTTATGAGAGAACGAAGTCTCTCCTCCTCTATCTTAGCTTTCCTTCTTCTCTCATTATGCCAAGGACCTAATCTCTGCCTAATAGCTATAATCTTCTCCTTAATCAAGCCCGAAGAGTTCTGCCAAAGACCTAATCTCTGCCCAATAGCTGTAATATTCTCCTTAATCGAGCCCGAAGAGTTCTGCCAAGTTTCACCCCCTAATTTCCTATACAAATCCTTCTTTGCCCAACACACATCAAATTTAAAATAGTCTTTGTGTTTACTTCTACATAAAGTAGTTTGAAAAAGGGCGAGATCCAAATGGACAACCGAGTGATCCGAGGAGCACGTGAACACTGTCGTCACCGTACAATGTAAAAAAATACTAAGCCAGCTCTGAGAGGTCACAAATCTGTCAAGTCTCTCTCTAATGTGACTTATCCCCATTTTCCCAACTCCAAGTGAACCAAACCATTTTGGGTTTAACATCCCAAAGATCAGCTCTGATGAGAGTATGGTGAAAATATTCCATATCAATTCTTGGTCTCCTTATTCCCCCAAACATTTCATCTGGATGAATGATTTCATTGAAATCACCTCCCATCACACATGAGAGGGTGGAGGTACCGGTGAGCATGTCAATAAGGTTCTAATTATCCACTTTCCTCCCCCGAATACAGTTCCCATAAAACCCAATAAAACAAAAAATGAAAAGAATTCCAACTAACTTCAATGTCAATATGCAAACTGAGTAACCCAAAAGAGAGATATTGATATCATTTTTCCAAAATAGAATAAGGCCAGTACATGAAATATTCTTTACAACAAAACAACAGTCATGCCTAACCTAATCCTAACATGCTCCGCTTTGTACTTAAGAAGCCTGGATTTCGAAATTAAAACAAACAAATGGTCCTTAGAAAAGATTAACCACTTAAGTTCTCGAACTGTCATCGGGTTCCCAAGCCCTCGACAGTTCCAACACAAAATACTCATAGTTCTCGGCGGGGTTGCTTTGCAACCTTCATCGTTGGTACATGCTCATTACCCCCTCTCAGCAGAGGCTTCACTTGGATCCTCCTCATCCTCCTGCTCAGCTCGTGAACTTGATGAACCATCAGCTACGGCCTTACCACTTGTCTTATTGATCCTCTTCTTCCTGTAGTTAGACTCTCCATTTTCCGCTTAGCCATGCTTGAAGATACTAGGTCAACCACATTATGTACTCGTGGCTGGTTCGATTAGACGTTCCCCTCATCCTCAATACCTGGACAGTTTTGGTATGGTATACTATCTTTTTTCCCTGTTAGTTGAACTTCGTACACAACCACGTTCTCTGCCACTTATTGAGGAGTAAAATCTGAATCATCAACAGCCGACAGAGACACAGTTCGTGGTGACCTTCCAGTGCTCCCAAAGGAGGAATTTTACCCCTTGGAGCTCGATGAGCCTTCACTCTCCACATAATAGATAAGACCTCTAACTTTTGAGGTGAAACCACTAGATTGCTCTTTAGGTTCGTAAACTCGTAACCAATCTCCAAATTGAAGAGTTTCAGGACCATTAGCATAATAGGATGGACACTCAATGATCATATGTCCAACAATGGCACACTAATGACAAAAGTTCGACAACCTCTTGTACTTCAAAAGACACCTTCTTAGTTGTTTGTCCTGCTCGGTACCAACATTCAGACATCTCCTAAGCGATTTCTTAATGTCTATTCTAACTCAAATACTAAGATACGCACCAAGCCTACCCTCTCAATTTCGAAATTCCACAGCCACTATCATTCCAACAGTGTTAACTATAACTGAAAGTCATGTTAAATCAATATGCTGATTTTTTTCCATATTATTAATATCGAAATCAGTATCAGAACCAGTTTTTGGCCTCGTCTCCCCTATCTATTCAAAGTATTCTTAACCGTTTTATTTTAGGGTTTTCGTACATAAAGACAAATACATGATTTTATATAGATAGATGGGCAAATTTGAACTTGGGGGCAAACTTGAACAGGTGCTTAGATTTGTATTAAGATAAATATGTAAAAAAAGGAAAAGTAAAGTGTTCATCCATCTCTTAGTCGGCTTCAATAGATTGTCATATTAACGGCCCTTACAACCTCAAAGAGAACATCCGCAGTTCGGTATGCTTTTGTGAGTTGTGCCCTACAAAAGAACAAAAAGTTTACCATCAAATAACAAACTACAACAATTTCCACAATAATCATCCAAATAACTTAAATATTAAAGACATCAACATGTAATTTGAGGACTTACCGATCAGTTTTATCAGCAGCATGTGTTGAGGCCTCGATGTATTTTATGTAATAGTGTTGATAAAAACTTTGCGTTTCACAAGCATCACTTTTCTCAACCCTTTCCTGTAGACTTGGATCATTGTCCTGAAATAACATCATATTTCCACATGAGACCAATAACAGAGAAAGGAAACAAAGAGCTAGAAGCATAAGCATGTACAAATGAAGACACGTAAGGAAGTTCTGCTAATCTAAGTAACTTATTAAAACTATATAAAATCAAACAAAATAATTGTTGAAACACTAAAAACCCAAAGTATAAATGAAGAATAATATTGTTTTTTTTTATAGAAGTTGGAGGTCTCATTAAAAACTCCTTTCGTATTCGTCCACATACAAAGAAGTATTTTAACGAACATCGGAAGGAAGAAAAGAGTACCTTATATTTTATTGAATGAAACACCCATTACATATGAAAACACGAAATACCCTCAAACGGGGATAAACACTATTATAAAAACATAATCACCTAAAGCTCTCGCCTTCTCGACCACAAAAATCAAGAGGCAATCACCCTATACCTAAGATAAACCTCCATCAAAAGGAAAAACAACCCCACAGTTTTGACATGACATACATAAAAACAACACCTGAAACAAAACCAACAAGATTCAAAATCACCAAAAAAGTCAGCTCGATAAGTTATCTTCAATGAAACAAAACCAGATTCCCTTCCCTTCAATCATGTATCCTTGCCACTTAATTCTGGAGAATCATCGACTTCCTCAGGGATCCAAGAGATTGGTTTGAAAGAAGGCTCAACTTCATGCACCATGATTTTACAAAAATTAGAACCGACCCTCAAACTCAACAACTCATCAATTCTCACTCTATTCTCTGTGAGGATATGAAGTTTTGCACGATCAAAAGATGAAGGAAACTGAGAGCTTTCATCAATTGATATTAACTTGCCCCACCTAGCCGCAATGTTCTTGAAAGTACCCTAATTCCACGCGTGAAATGGAATCCCTTCGCAAACTACCCATACTCGACGGCACTCTACAACTAGACTCTCCGACCAAGCTTCAACTCTGGAAAACCACTCGGCAAGAGTCTGTAATTGTTCATTCTTCACCCTATTCAACATATCAGAGTCCTCGAATATCATGAGAACTACATTCCCAGCAGCTCTCATTAACGAGAAACCATTGAGTCTTTTATCTTGCATTTGGCTAGCAAGATTGCCGATCTTGGTATAGTCCTTACACCACCCCATTAGGCAGTTATCCAAAACTTGAAGTTTAGTTTCGTCAACAACACGTCTACTGAATAGAGATTATTTCTTGTAACATCTTCCCTCTCAGGCTTTAGATGAACAACTGACGAAGACTTTCTCCAAAAAGAATGTCTTGGGTTGAATTTAGCAAAAGAGACTCCAATTTTTCTACCATCAATGCGAGCTCCATTCATCATTGAGATCGCTTTCCTGGCTTCTCCAATTGTTGCAAAGCGAATAAATCCGAAACGAAACCCCTTCGAATTTATTTTGGTTGGAATGAAAGCATCCATAATCTGACCGAATGGACAAAATAAAGATCCAAATCTCTTCCAATGGTTCTTCTCTGGTAAGTTCTCAATGTATAACGTAAAGCAACCAGATCCATATCCATTACTGATTTTTGGATAGTCTTTCTTCCACCAATAATTAAAACTGTGGCGATTGGGTGATTGGTTAACCGCCTCAGAACTCTGTGCAGATGTCTCTTCCACGTTCCTTGTTTTAACCAAGGAATCATCCCTATTCTTTTTTGTCACCAACAGCATCCTCTCAGACTCTTCCTCCGCCGCAGTCATACTATGCTTCTCCTTCTCCACTTTCTTCAACGTCGGCGCCTGTTGCTCCTCTCTCTGTTTATGTAGCTCCGCTTCCGTCACCTCCGGCACCAAAATCTCCACACGATTCACCTTCTTAACTGAATTTTTCAAAGATTTTTCAAAAAAATTTCAATCTCGTTTTCCCCAGATTTGGATTGACGGCCAGACTTAGCCCTGTGAGCTGCGGCTTTAGCCCGTTTCTCAGCTTCTTCCTCTCGATTCTTGGCTACTTTTTTTGTAACCAGAAGCTGTTGATGTGCAAGACTTTTGGATGGATTTCTCTCCAGCTCATAGACATCGTAACTGGAAGGAAGAACTTCTTCGGGGACAGCAGTTGAAACTACTGTCTCCCTCCCAGCTGCAAGCCTTTGAACCTTATGGGAGCCTTCAAGAGTTGCTTGAAAATCTACTGCAAGCTTGTCATCGACATATTTCTTTAAGGGTTCTGCAACTTGATCAGTTTCTCTTGATTCCCTTAGTTTAGCTGAAGACTCTTTGACCAGCTGCTCAATATCAAGCCTTGTCTTATGCAATTTGTCACGTAATTCAACGGTATCTTTAAGAGTACCAAGGTAATTAACAAGGCTATCAAAAGCCAAAATAGCAGTTCTTAAATTGAAAATCCCCGTCTCCACAGACTGCAAAACCGAAGCCTGTTCTGCATCTTGCCTTGGTTTTTGCCGAGAGGAAATGTAATGGTGTGGGGTAGCAACACCCACCTGGTAACTCATTCTTTAGCTTTTCTTTAACTCAGGAGGAGGAGGATGGGTTAAGTTGAAAAAAAAAAGCAAAGGAAGAAAGGGTGATGGAAAGAGCAAAAACAGCAGCTAAAGATCGACGGCGAACGTGGCTGACTTGGTTGCTTTGTGGAGAGACGACAGTAGCAGCATAGAGAGGAAGATAGAAAAGATTATGGCTTTACTGCTGTGATGGTTCGCGCCGTCGTCGGAAAAGAAGCGTCGCCGACAAGCTGTTAGTCGAAGGGCCTCGTCCAAGATCCACTGAGTTTTTAGTCTCTCCTTGATGAAACGATGCATAGATCCCTGATGCTGAGTTCGTTGGTGAGGCAGTGTTGAGCACGGACGGCGGAAAGCGGTATGGGCCGACGATCTTCCAAGAAAAAACGACGTCCAAAACGGAGGTCAGAGTGAGGCGGCGGAAGGCTGACGACGACGGCGAACAACGAGTGGATGACGGAGGAGAGAATAAATTTCAAAAATGCCTGGGCTCGTGAAATTTGAAATTTGAAATCTCCTGGGTTAGAGAGAAGCTAGAGCTTCTCTCACTAACACGTGAATGGCAACGGTTGATAAGAATAATATTGTTTTCATTCAATAAACTTAAGTTTACATGTATTTATAAGCTATTCATGTACACTAATTGTCTAACTGTCAGTTAACAACTTTAATAACTATATAACTAACTACTCCCAAAAGATGTTTTTAACCCCCAACAAGCCAATTATATATTCATGCTGCTAAACTGTTAAAGCCTTCGTCATAATATTTCCCAGTTGCTCCTCTGATTTCACATGCCCTGTTTGTATCAACCCTTCTTGTATTTTCTCCCTTACAAAATGAAAATCGATTTCAATTTGTTTAGCCCTCTCATGAAATACTGGGTTTGCTGCAATCTGCAAAGCTGCTTGATTATCACATAACAACTTTGATGGTTGAATGTTCTTTACTCAAAGCTCTTCAAGTAAGCCTCTTAGCCATACAATTTCTGCTACAGTCATGGCCACACTTCGATATTCGCTTCTGCTGAAGATCTAGCCACAATACTTTTCTTTTTTGACTTCCAAGAAATCAACGATTCACCCAGTTTAATGCAAAACCTAGTTGTTGATTTTCTAATCATAGGACATGACGCCCAATCAGAGTCGCAAAAGGCTGTCATATTCAAATCACCTTCAACCTTCATCAAAATGCCTTGTCCATGACTTCTTTTGATAAATCTCACCACCTTGAGAGCAACTTCCATATGTAACTTCTTTGGCTGATGCATGAATTGGCTCAAGGTATGAACAACATACATTATATTTGGCCTTGTATATGTCAAATATATCAAATTTCCCACTAATCATTGAAAAACGTTTGTCTTGTAATAATTCATCAGTCATATTCATGGCCTGACCCTCATCATACTCCACCGTGGTAAGTTTTTTATTCTCCTCTAAAGGCGTAAGAATAGGCTTCGCACCTCCAATTCATATTTCTTCGATCAGTTTCAAGGGATATTTACACTGATTTAGCAATATGCCCTCCTTAGACCTTAAAACTTCAAAACCCAAAAATACCATAACTCCCCTAAATCTTTCATCTTAAAGTTCTTGTTCAACATCTCCTTCAATCAAGTTACCACAATCATCAGTAATAAGCAAGTCATCTACATGGATGAGTATGATCACGATACCACTTCTCCTTTTGACAAACAAAGAATAATCGTGTTTACTCTGTTGATAACATTCTTGAATCAAAGTCTCCGTCAACTTAAGATTTCATTGCCTTGATGCTTGTTTCAAGCCATAGATAGACTTTTGTCGTTTACATACCAGAGACTCCCCCTAACTGCAAAAGCCCTCAAGCAAATCCATGAACACTTCAACTAAATCACCCAGAAGAAAAGTGTTATATATATCCATATGGTATAACAACCAATTATGATGTGAAGCTAAAGTAAGAAAAGTTCGAATAGAAACAAACTTTGCAACTAGAGAAAATGTATTGACAAAATCCACCCCTCCTTTTGAGTGTATCCCTTAGCCACAAGACGACCCTTAAAGCGCTCAACCTCACCGTTAGGTTTATACTTGACTTTATACACCCACTTACAACATATTGGCACTTTTTCGGATAGCAAGTTAACCAAAAACCATGTGTTATTTTGCTCCAAAGCAGAAATCTCCTCTTTCATGGCTTAAACCCACAAGGGATTTTGAATAGCCTCGAAATAAGTTTTAGGTTCAAGAATTTTGGAAATGGATGAAAGAAACAAGTGGGTATTGACATGCAAATGATCATAGGATAAACACAAGGAAATAGGGTACTTACATGGGATGGAAGAGGACAGGTAAGAGTGTATAAAATCATGCAGCCATGATGGGGGTTTAGAAACACGAGAAGACTTTCGAAGTGGAACAACAAATTTAGGAACCACAGACAAAGATTAACTACTACTCTGGTAAAAAACAGAAGACTCATGATGTCCAACATTATGCAAAAAATCAGTGGAGAAACATTATGCTAAAGGTTGAATCTACAATGGAAGAAGATTAAGGAATTGGTGAATGTGAAACATTATGCAAAAAATCAGTGGATGTAGAAGGAGTACTCGAATGAATATTAAAAACTAAGAAATCTGAATCTACAATTGAAGAAGACTGGGAAAACAAAGGAAAATCTTTTTTGATAGGAAATCGAAAGGAAAACAAATGCTCATGAAATTTATATCCCAACTCACAAAAAATGTGTTTGTCTCTAAACTAAACATGATATAACCATTTTGAGTTGAGGAATAACCCATAAAAACAGATGGTACAACTTTAGGAGAAAATTTATCAACATGTTTAAGTTGAGTAGCATAACCAAGAAAACCAAAAACATTCATATGGGACAAATTAGGCTTCTTATTATAAAGCATTTCAAAAGGACATTTCCATTGTAGAACAACAGAAGGAAGTCTATTAATGATATAACAAGTTGTTTTGACACATTCTCCCCAAAATCAAATTGGAACATTTGACTGAAATCTTAAGGCTCGGGATATTTCTAAAAGATGTTTGTGTTTACGTTCTACTACTCCGTTCTGTTGAGGTATCCTGACACAAGAGCTTTGATGAAGAATTCTTAAAGAAGTGAACAAACTAAAACCCTCTGAACTGGAAAATTGTGAACCATTGTCACTCCTAATGGTTTTGACAGTAGTTGAGTAATGATTAATAACAAACTGGAAGAATTGTTTAAGGTAGAGCAAGGAATCACTTTTAAGTCTCAACATATAGACCTAAGTCATCCTGGTTTTATCATCCATAATTGTCAAAAAATACCTCTTGCCATTTTGTGTAGGAATATGATAAGGACACCACAAATCCAATTGAATCAACTCAAAAGCTATATTTGCCCTAGATATACTAGAAAGAAATGGTAACCTAGGTTGTTTTGCAAGAGGACAAACAAAACATATATAAATCTTGTCACAATTCAACTGAGTAGATTATATAAAAGATGTTTTATTCAATTTTGTAAGACTAGCATGGCCCAAACGGGCATGCCACAAGTCAAAATCAACAGGAAATTGTAAAGACTGACCGGCAGAAACAGTAGAAACAACAACATTATTTATTTCATACGACACACTTTGACCATGAGTAGACTAGCCAGGAAACAGGCTTGAAACATTGATGTAGTATATACCTCGAAACTGCTTACCAATTCCTCTCACCTTCCTATTGTAGCGATCCTGAAGAACACAAAAATTTTGGGTAAAAACTCACACAACAACCAAGTTCTTGTGTCAATTTGGAAATGGAAAGTAAATTGTGTGTGAATTGGGGAACATGAAGCACATTACTGATATTTGTGTCTGCATTAAACGATAAGGAACTAATGTGGGAAATTGGGGTTATTTTACCATTTGGCAAGTAAACAAGACGTGACTCCTTTGCACATGAATTGGAGATTTAAGAATGTGGAGATCATATAACATATGATATGTGGCACCTGTATCTAGGATCCAACGCACATCATTATTCTTAGTTGCAAGACAAGCAGAGATACTACCTGCCAGATTAGCTGAGACATCCTTGACTGATCCTCTGTTAAGCAACTCAAGAATCTGATTATATTGCTCACGTGTAAAGCTTGGTGCATCCGTCAATCCTTGATTGTCATCTACCTTGACCTCCGACCCATAATTCTCATCTGACTTGTTAACCACCAACGCAACCTGTGGATTCTTCTTCCTGGTGAATTTAAAATCAGATGGAAATCCATGTAAGCGATAACAATTCCCACGCTTGTGGCCTTTGATTTTACAGTGATCACTAATTCCATTAAAGCGACAACGTTCTTAATTTTTTGAAGTATTCATGTACATGGATGTGGAATCTGACAGAGGTGATAAACCAGTCGACCCAATTGATTGAATCGATGCGATTGTTTTTGTGTGATCATTGAATAAGTCTGATTCACCGTAGATAACGGTTGCATTAGCAAGATTTAACTTCTCACAGCTGTATAAGTCTCATTCAAACCCATAAGGAACTGGAATAACCTCTATTGAGCCACATGCCTTCGATTCTGTTGTGAGACATCACATTCACAAGAAAAGGGCACCAGTGAGTTATACTCATCCCATAACAATTTTAGTCAAGTGAAATATGTTGAGACTGAGGAATCCTCGAGTCATCATCGCACTTTCATGATAAAGCCTTGACCCGTTGACGTTGTCGAATCTCTCCTTGAGATCTTGCCAGACTTGTGCCGCTGTGGCCGCAAAAACTATTCCAGACAAAAGATCGTTGATTACCGTGTTAAGAATCCAGGATAAAACAAATGCATTTCAATGCTCCTAATGTGAGTGCAAGATCTCATCATAATCCTCCCTTCGACATTCTTCAATAACAAATCCCATCTTATTCTTAGATAACAATACAATCCCCATCGTCCTACTCCAAACATTGTAGTTTTCCACTCTGGTGAGACGATGCGACACTAAAACTCCTCATGGT